TGGCACGATCAGGGCTAGACCCTCCTGGGGCCACTGAGGACCGCCAGTCAACCACAAGCAGCACACAAAGCAGAGGCCAGGCCTCCGGCGTGGGCTGACGGCACATCTTGGCTGTTCTCGACGAGACAGGTCAGGTGGGACCAACAAGCCTGAGGAGGCGTCCCCCCACCTCCACAACACCCTCCCGGAGAGGCCACGAGGCAGCCCTGCCCCGCGGGAGCAAGAGGAACCACACACGCACCCGACATACATGTGTGGCCCTCGTCACGGGACCTGCGTGAGGCGGGAAGACAGCCCAGGGCTCAGGACGTCACGGGGCAGCGGGCCTGATGCCCTCCGACACACAGGAGGGAGCGGTGAGGCCCACAGAGCCGAAGGTGGTCTTGGCCGGTGACCTCACTCCTTCAGGTGAGCCTGAGCGGGGCTGCCAGAACACGGGTCAACGCCGCGCCGGAGGGCAAGGGCCGTGTGGCAGGCCCGGCACCAGCAGCGTGTGGCTGTCTCCCAGGCCGTGGGACGCCTCCTGGCCGCCCTCGAGCACACAGCAGGCCGCACCAACCAAGCCCAGGCCCTTCCCGGACGGGCTTCTACAGCTGAAGTCTGTGTCCCTGAGGCCACCGCCTGCCCCCGCCTGCCTGGCCGGGCAGCGTCCCGGACACGCCATTCTGCACCCACCGCGCTTTGGACTTTAAAGGTGACGGGACCATCCACGCTCCTCCACCACCTAAGCAGAGTGACCTCAGAGAGTCATTTCCGACTTGAGATCTGTCTCAAAGAGGTCACTCGGCCAGCCGCTCTTCAGGACCGGCTGTGGCACCCAACAGACGTCTGGTTTAGTTTAATTAAAAATACCGGTGCCCACCACCACCTCGGCTCTCGGTACCTGTCACGCTGTCTGCCCTTTGCCGCTGAGCACAGGGACAAGCAGGTGGCCTGCAAGGGACACCTGGGCTCACCGGGCACCAACGACACAGAAACACTGGCCGAACCTGATGGGGGAAGGCCAGAGTGCACAGAGGGGCAGAGGAGGAGAAGCTGGGCAGGAGCCGAGCTTGACCTCGGGGCTGGGGACTCCGCAGGGGCAAGCGGCAGAGCGGGGAGGGAGGGGTGCCGGGCAGGCCTGCGGGCGCCCCAGGCGCGACCAGCCTCCAGCCTGAGCTGCAAACCACTGAGCCTCACAGGGGGTCACACGGGGTACAGGATGAAGATCATAAAAGGTGACACGGAGCAAGAGCCGGAGCAAGGACATGCGGCAGGAGAGCGGCAGCCGGGCCGCGGGGCCGCGGGGTCGGGCAGCAGCCCAGGCTGGGCCTGAGGGCCAGCGGTACTGCCCGCGGGCGGTCTCTGAGTCAGGGCGGCAAAGGGAGGGGTGGCGTGGACGGGGCAGCGCCAGCCTGCATGGCCGGGGCAGCGTGCGCCGGAGTGTCAGCGAGTTCCCGTTTCCCGCCTCCGTGTGGACCTGCTTCCGTGCCTTTGCTGAGGCACAACGGAGCGACGCCTGTTCCCGAGGCGAGACTCCCCTTTCCTGCGCCCCTGCCTCGCGAAGCACCTGCCTCGCGGCTCGGAAAGGGCTGGAGGCCGCCCCAGGGCGCAGGGGTGACACGCAGCCCCGGAAGCCGTCGCGGCCCCGCGGCGCACAGCAGACCTCGTCTCCCCGCTGCCCCTCCAGCTGTGTGTTTCCATCGACCCACCTGTCCGGTCTCTGGTGAAGCCTCCATCTCTGGCCTGTACCCCAGTTCTTGAATGCATAAATACAAAAATCTTAAAAAAAAAAAAAAGAAACGAAACGGCGGGAGGAGGTTAAGAATACGCACCTGATTTTCTTTAGCAGAAGATTCCAAAAAAGCCGCGTTCCAAGACTCTGCTAAGGCCTTCCCCTCTTCGTAACTGACCACCCTAAAGGAAAATAAAGTCCAAATTAAAGCGCTTTGCTTTCTGCTATCTAAACACAACAGCGACAGCGAGGCCCGGCGCAGCCTCCGCTCCCCTGACGAAGCAGAAGCTTGCTCTGCGCCGCACGGCGCCGGGAGGGCTCTAGGCTCGGGCTGGGAAAGAGTGGGTGCGGCCCTGGGCGCCACCGCGCTCCCGGAGGCCTCCAGTCCAGAGCCCAGGACGGAAGCTTCCAGATCTCTGAGACCTGTCACGACAGACCCTCTTCCAGCCCCGGGGACGGGCATTCTGGCGCACGCAGCCTGCGGTGTTCAGCCGGCAGCCCCCCCGCCCCCCTTACGCGCCCCAGACCTGGGACACGCCTGTTGAACGAGGGGGATACCGGGGCTCTGGAGAAAGCACCACCTGTCGGGGGGGTGAAGAGGCCGCCGCCATGACTGCTCTGCCGGCCGGCCACAGGCTAGGGCAGCAGTCAAAATGGGCTCGGCGGCCGTCTCCAGACCCACGTACCTTTCCATATGCAGGTCTTTCTTATTCCCAACCAACATGATCGGTATTCTGTAAGGACAAGAAAAAGGCCCGAGTCAACCGGCCCGCGCAGATCTCAGGGCTCGGGGCACAGCCATAAAGAGTCAATGTGACAAAGAGGTGGAAATTCCTACTCACTGTACTTTCCCCACCATGTCCAACAATTTGCCGTGGATAACTTTAATCACTTCAAAACTGCAAACAGAAAGCACACAGTTGTGAGTCCCCTTCAGTGCTGCCGTGAGTCCCTCAGGGGCGTCAGTAGCGCGAAGCCAGACCATGCTGCCCCACACAATAAACGGGGTGCCGGGGCCCGGGCTGCCTGGACCATCTCCCACGGGGGCCCCACAGACGACATGGCGTGCAGGGCATGAGCGCGCGCGGCGAGGCCGAGCCACACAAGCCCCATCGGCTGCGGGGCAAACACCCCACGAGCTCAGGGGCCCCCCCGTGGTCCTGTCGCCTGGCTTTCCAGGGCCCCCCGTGGGGTCCTGACCCCACCGTCCTCGCTGTGCGGGGCTGGCGCTACAAGCCTGCACTGTCTTATGCCCAGCTTGGCCTTCGGTGAGGTCACAAGGCAGCAAGAGGACGTCACCGCTCACCAGCGGCCACGCGCCGCTCTCGGTCAGAGACCCCGTAGTCACACAGGTGCCAGCCCAGGGGGCCTCCCCCAGGCCCCACCCCGTCTCCTCAGCACAGCGACCTGTTACGGCCAGCAGCCCGCCTCCGACTCCTCTGGCCCCACCCCCGAGCCCGTGTGCATCGGCACCAAGCTGCACAGGTCTCTCTCGCTGGCCCCCTCAGCTGCAGGATCAGGCCAGAACCTCCAAGTCACCTTCCTTAAGCCTGCCAAGTTCTCCCTGCAGATCTCACTGTAACCGGCTCCCTCCCTTTTGTCCAGACCCTTCCACAATGGCCCAGTGGGCCCTTCCAGCCCACCCACAACACCCCCATGCGTTGGCTGCTCATCAGCACTGCCCCAGGTCCACGCTCTCAGCTTCACCGCCTGCTTCCTGCTCACTAAACATGGCAATGAGCCCCACGATGCACCTGAAAGAGCGCGCGTGTCACTTTAACAAGATCACCCGAGCAAGCCAGCGATGGGACAGGGTGTCCTGAGCACCGAGGCTAGTTTCCAGACCTCTCCGCAGGCGCCGGAGAGCAGCCAGGGCCGGAGCGCGGCTGGGTGTGGACCCCCTGCGTGGAAAGCCTCCAGGGGAGCTGGCCTGGTGACAGGCGTCTAGGAACACACTATGGCAACAGTGACAGCCAATGCCATTCTGAGATGCGGGCACAAGAGACCCTGGTGGCCCTCCCGTGGCTGCTCTGGTGGAGGGGTCGCCTGGCACAGAGCCGCGGGCGTCCCAGGCCAAGAGCCAGCCAGGACCCGAACCTCGGTCCAACAATGCTCACGGAGCCAGGGGCTCACGGCAGCCCCAGCAGACACCCCTCAGCCTGGAGTGACCCTGACGCCTCAGCCGCGCCCAGACTGCTGAACCAGTGAAGCTGACATAACAAACACGCCCAGTTTTAGGCTGCTAATTCTGGGGCTGATTTGTTACACACTTTCACTCGAAAGGAAAGCAAATATCTGCACTTCTGTCCTCTTCAGATATTTAAAACTTCATTTTTGTCAAAGAAAGCAAAACAGCGCAGGCTGCACAGGGCTGCAGGCCGCGGCAGGGGCGGCGCCTGGGGGCAGAGGGCCCTCGAGCGCTGCGGCCTCAGCCAGCGCCGGCCACCTGCGTGTGGCCACTCGCCCCGAAGCCCGCTTCGTTCTCACAGAATTCTGGGAGGGCGGCCGACCCCGAGGCGACTGACCGCGGCTAGAGGACACGGAGGCAACAACAGGCCTGCAGCCTGCAGCCTCAGACTGCAGCCACGCGCCAGTCAGCGCACGGCGCTCGCCCTGCGCCACGCCTCCCCCGCGCTGCAGGGTGACCGGCGGGCAGGGATCGCTGGCGAAGGTGCTTGGAGCATCAGTCCCACTGGCTGCCAATCCCGTGATCACACGCCTAATTTAAGTTCTGAACTTTTAAAGTGAGGCAGAATTGTTTCTCTGGAACCGAAGGGTGCAGAGCAGTCTCCTCCCCAGCAGCTCACAGAGCAGCCGGGCGCAGCGGCTGGGGCCAGCGCGGTTAACCGAGGAGTGGCGCTCTAAGTCTAAGTCGCTTCTGAGTGGGCGCAGCCAGCGTGGCGGGACGGCAGGGCCGCAGCGCACGCCCCGGACAGCGGGCCCGGCCGCGCAGCTGTGAACCCAGGCCGCGGCCCGACGCGGCCTCGGCAAGCGGTTCCGGGTCTCCTGACTCAGCTCCCTTCTGGAGCAGCAAGAGGGCACTACCTCGGGCAGCAGCGACGGGCAGCGGTGGTGTGGCCCCGGCACCCCCCGCCCCACTCCCACGAGGCCCCGCACCAGACCCCCCCCTTGCTGGCAGCCACAGCCCCTCCCCCACAACACATGGCGCCCGGCAGGAGGGTGAGGTGTGTGCCTAAGAGCCATTTACGACTCACCGTCACACAGGAACGTGATCCTATTACTCAAAGATTTTATTTCATAAATCAAAGAATAAAATATTTAAGAAACGGAAACCCCAGATTGTACCAGAAGGTCGATTCCCCTGTCTGAACACACACAAAGGCCACTCAAGCATCCCAATCAACAGAAAAACTCAGCCTGTCTTCAATCATTCTCCCTCCAGCTTCAGGTAAACACAATTTTACCCCACCTCTCTGGCTAAGTTTTCCCCACAGCGACCTGCCACTTCTGCAAGCTGACCGCTGAAAACGTTTACCCTAAGAATTCAGTCAGCTGGAGCCACAGCAAGCCGCAGGCGGCCTTACCTCTTGGTGGATGTGACAGAGTACACAAGAATGTAGCCATTAATGTCTATGGAGTACGTCTGAGGAAAGATGGAGTATTCATCCTGCAGAGTGAGAAAACAAAATAATCACGCGTGAGTGAAGCCTTCCTGCCGCTGACGTTGCCAGCAAGCTGCCCGGGTTCTACACTGCCCGGTCAACGAAGTCACAGGCCCAGCGGCGGACGCCACCGGCTCACCAGCTCACTTCCGGGAGCGCGCCGCAGCCAGTGCCGGCCCCGGCCCCGCTGGCCCGGGACTTCTGGGAGGTTCCTGGATCCAGCGACTCCAGGGAGAGGGCGCGAGGGCTGCGAGGACGACGGCTGTGGCGGGAAAGGGCCCGGCTGTCTCCTCGCAGGGGTGGAGAGGCCGGAACCTCTGGGGCTCTCAGGCAACTACAGGCCACTGGTCTGCTCCGCAGGGCTGCGCGCTCGTATTTGAAGCGCGGCCCGTGCGCCGCCCTGTGTGAGCCACGGTGGCCTGAGACCCACATTCCAGAGGCCAGGAGGAGGAAGAGAGCCAAGCGCCCCCTCCATCGGCGTGTCCCGACTTCTGCGGCCAGCGGGCCATCCTCTGAGCGAGCTCAGGATTCTGGACACAGGCACACAAGTGACCGAGTCCTAGCCCTGGCTTGGAAACGCGCTGCCGACCGCTAGCCACAGAACCTAAAGCCCAGAAAGGCCCCAGCGTCAATGCTGCTTTCACCAGCACGACGCTGTCTGATGCAAGCACTCCGCTCCTGGCCTCCGTACAACTGCCAACACACCACACGCGGGCGGCACAGAGTGCCAGGAGAGAGATCACCTCACCACCACCACACCCGCAGCTGGCTTCCCGACCGTGACCCACAGCAGTGGCCAATGTTCACCCTGGCCACTACTTCTGACCACAGTGCAGTGTCCTTACAAGCCAGTTCTGCTGTCCACTCTCTGATCGGAGAATGGCAGGCCTGCACTGTGGTGCTGACTGCACATGCTAAAGCCTTATTTTCATTATCAGTAAAATTCTTGTTAGGTTGAATTCATTTTAGTATTTTGGTGAACGTAATAATAAATCTCTCCAGCCAGGTGAAACCAAAATCCCAGATGATCTGAGTCACCAGCTCAGTTAAAGTAAAGCAAAGTTTCATGAAATCAGCCAGAAAGAAAAGGAAAAATACCGGATGGTTTCTCTCATAGCAGGAGCATAACAGACCAGGCGAGAAAAGAACGATAACGATGACCAGCTACAGACCAGAGACACTTCGCGGGGCGGAGCGGGGAGGGGTCCAAAGCAGGGCGGGGAGGGGAGTGCACGGGACTGTGCTGACGGCACAGGGCGATGTGGTGACGGGGAGCCCACGGGGGTTGCGGCTGAGACGGGAAAGGGCGTAATACAATTCATCAGGAGAAAACCTAGCAAGGCTCTAGAGATAAAAAAGACTGAGACCGGGAACCACGCGTGTCCCTCGGGAGAACATTCGGTTACGAGCAGCTCCCTGGCTGACTCCCACCAATGCAGAAACGTGGGGGACCCCGGTGGGAGGCGCTGGCTGAGGCGGCAGGGGGCGCAGGGCCGAGGGCTTGGGAGTTTGAACTCTCCCCGCCGACGTGTTCGGGGGAATCAAGAGGCGCCCGGGCCTGCGGGCTTCAATGAGAGTACAGGGCAGAGCACTAAGTTCAGTAACGCAGACACAAGGGGTCTCCACAGCTACAAGCCTTTCAAACGGAACCCGTGAGCCAAAGGCCAGCTGGAAACAGAAAGCCGGCCGTTCAGACGACGCACCAGGCGTCCTTGAAGGCGTCACTGGAGGCAGCAAGCAAGCCCACCGCTGACAGGAAGCGGCAAGGCAGGGGTCAGGCGGAGAGTCACAGAAAAGGAAAGCCAAATGTCCCCAACGGTCAACTCCTTCCTGACAAGAAAAAACACTTCTCAAACTAGAGATCTCCACGGAGCTGACCGACCGGCAGCGCCCGCGGTGGGGAGGCGCAGGGAGGCAGGCCCTTCTCCACGGCAGGCAGGCCAGAGAGCAAGCTGCGGCCGCAACGCCCCTAGGCTCACCCCGACACAGCGGGCGAGGCGGGAGGCAGCCGGCGAGTGAGAGCCAGGGGACGGCCGGGACACGGTGACCTCGGAGGTGGAACACACTTCTGGTCCGTGTGGGGCCCGGCACCGACTGCAGCCAGTGACGTGGGGACTCGGGGCGGGCCGCACGCCGGCTTTCCTGCAGAAGGGGAACCCGACACCACAGGACTGCCAGGCTCGCTCAGCGCCCGTGCGCGTCACCAGCCCCTCGCGCCCCGGCACGGCTGCCGACTGCCAGCAGCCTGAACCCAGGCCGTCCACGGGGGCCGGGTTTAGAGACAGCCCTGGGAGCAGGGGCGGACGCGGCCCCCCGCGACGGAGCACCCCTTTCATTTCACGGTCGCCAACTGCGGACACAGCTTTGAGGGACCATGAGCTGTCACGAGAACAAATGACTCAAAGGAGCTGAACTTGAACCCATTTTGTGCACGATTCCCCAAATACCCTTACCCAGCGGGCAGCAGAGGGCAGTCCCGCTGGCCTCGCCACCTCTCGCTGTCACCCACGGCCTTAGGACACGGCGCCTTCGGTGTCACCGTGTCACTGTGCCCTCACAGGGCTGCAGACTCAGGCAGCGCAGACGCCCTGTATTGACGGGGGCATGGACACAAGACCCTTCTCTCCACAGACCCTCCCCTGCACGGCTAGCCAGCGCCCGCGCCCCGCACCCCCGCCCTCCCACCCGGCTCACGCACGGCGCTCTAGCCCCCGTAACCCAGGCTCCACAAGAGCAAATCCTCTGTAAGCTCCAAATTTGCTGGAAATCATGTAACACCCCGTGAGGGCCGGCGTGTCACTAGGGTAGCGGGAGGCCAGGATCCAAGCGCAGTGAGACCAGACTGCACCCAGGCAGGAAGGGACACAGGCCCCCCTCACGGACAGGCCTTTCTCTAGGAGCTAACCTGGAGCCACTGATCCATGAGCAGCCCCACCCCCACCCCATGGCCTTGGTGAACTCAAACCGAAGGCAGCACGGAACAAGAATCTGACGTGAGGGTCCCACTGGCAGCGTGGCCGGTGTGCCTGCCGCCTCAGCACCACCGCCCCGTGCCCTCGCTCCCAAGGGCGCCTGCTCTGCTACGAACACGCCGCCGCCGCGGCCAGATGCAGACCGCAGCGCCACCCTACGCCCTGCCCGGTGGCTCGCTGCGTGCACCGCTGAGGGTGACTGGGTGCGCAAGGTGCCCGTGCCCCCGTGCCAGTGAGCTGCACTCCGATGGCCAAGTCCTCAGCGGCGGGTGGCAAGGGCACGGTACAGGCCCCATCGGGTGGGGATGGTCACAGGTCACAGCTGTCACCTGCATGTTTGGCGTCTTCTAGTTGAATCTTCCGTAACAAACTCCAGGGTTTCTCCAGCATTAAGACCCACAAAGAACCATGTCAAAACAAAGCACAGGGGTTCACGGCAAATCCAGAAGACAGGCCTCGGGGCGCAGGGCCTCCCCCCCCCAAGTTCTAGAAGAAGCCCCCATCCAACCTGGCAGACCAGGTCACACCACCCCAGCTGCCCTGCAGACGGGCTGGCCCTCTGCCCTGTGAGCAGCAAGGTGAGGCGCCGGGCCCTGAAAACCCCAGCCCTCTCACCGCCCAGCGGGCTGCAGCAGGGTCAGCGCAGCAGAATGGTGTCTGGCAGAGGCTGGCCCGGGGCCATGGCAAGGGGGAAGCTAAGCTGTCAAAAACGGTTTCCTTTATTTCCTTCAGGTCCTCCTCATTTCTTTCGGCCACAGCTCCCAACTTCCCTGGTGAGGACCCCCGTTACCAACACGCTAACCCGCCAAGAGCCCCCTCGGTCATGCACACAACCTCCACAGGGACTGGCGAGCAGAGGCCGCGGCTCCCTGAGCGAGCTGCCCACAGCCCAGCCGCAACTGCCAGGCCTGCCCTGGGCCTTTGCATGCTTTTCCTTCAGAAAAGATCTGCTTTTGTCTCAACACAAGAGACCACTTATTGCAAAGGGAGGGCCAGCACTTGCGAGGCTCTGCCACAGAACGACAGCCTAGAAAACAGCAAGCCACTACCTGGCTCACTGAGGTGCCGTGGTGTCACATCTAAAACCTGAAGTTAAGAGGACCAAGCGGCCAACCTGTTCTCGCTCAGCCCCCGTGTCAGCAGGCTCTGGGCGCCGCCCTGTGTGTCAAGGCCGGGCCAGCTGTCAGACCCCCTGGTCCGCCTGGCCCCGAGGCGGAGATACTTACTTGCCCAGCTGTATCCACAAGCTGAAGGTGATAGTCTTGTCCATTCACTGTGATCAATTTTGTGAAAGCTAAAGGGGCAAAGAAAATTTATGTTAATAAAAAAAACAAAAAAACCTTCAATTACTTAGAAATTTGAACGACGACAATCAAGTTAGAGAGGCCCCAAAATCTCGCACACAGTGGGCATGTCTGAGTGGACAGATCCGCTGTACTTGCATTATCGAAGCAGCACGGGCTGACTGACTAAAACCAAGTTTGAGGAAACCCCGAATCTTTCCAAAAGCAAACGAAATCAGGCATCAATATAAAGCTTACAAAAACTGAAGCGCGGTCCTTCCTTATGAAACAGTGGAATCTATTACCTGAAGCTTGAAGCTTAGGATGAAGCAAGAGCAGGAAACTTTTCATTAACTTGCAGGAAGTCTGGTGTCAGGGCACAAAGAGCGAATTAACTGAAGTGCCGAGGACTTTCCGTACATAAAGAACCCGGCTGCTCGCTGACAGGTAAACAGCAGGGAGCAGATGTTCTGCGTGAAGCCATCATGCCCACTTAGTTTAAGCAATGTGTCACCACATCTTTTCTACCAAGGGGGAAAAATCAGATTCAAATAACTTCCGGAAAAGTCAATTTAGAATTCTAAGCAGACAGACTTCAAACAAATATAGACAGAAGAGGAAAGAACTATTGATAGCAACAGAACATTAAAAAGTAGCCATCTGGAACCCTGGCAGCTGAAGGACCGACTCCTCGGCATCTCCGGTCCAGCCATGTTGACTCGTGTGGAGTCCGGTCTCCTGCTGGCTGCTCGACGTGGCCTAAGCCGGCACAGACGAGGACGCACACCCCCGGCCTACACTGTCTCACAGCCCAAAGAGAACGCCAGCACCAGAGAGCTGAAAATGCGAACACTGCCAGGACGGTACAGACTGATCCGAAGGGCGTGTCCCACTGGGAAGAAAACAGCTCAGAGGACAGCAGCCACTGAGGAGGCCCGCACTAGCACCAGACTCTTCCAATGCAGGCTGGTGACAGAATCGGGTGGGCGACGTTTCAAAGCAGAGCACTCCAGCTACCGCCGCACAGCTCATCGCCGCGTCCTCTGGACGTGCTCACTGTGTAGAAAGACTAAACCAGGTGCAAAGTGATTCGACAGAACTTCAGGACCGGATGTAATCTGCTCCATCAACGCTAAGGAACAATTCTAGTGTGCTTCATGCCCACCACTGCAGGCGCTCTGAGCTGAGGCTCACTAGGCCTGAGCCGCGCTCTCCATCACTCTCAGCCAGCGCCAGGGGTGACGCTCCTGTGTGAAAACCTGCCCCCTCCGCGCCTTATACACCAAATATGCATTGCGGATTCAAGGAAAATCACCTCAGAAACACCAATGAGCAGTGAAACGTGCAACCTGCTCCTAGAGCCCAGAATCGTGGAGTGGCTGTGGAGTGTGATGTGAGCGTCGTGAAAAGATCATTGAAACAAAGCGCACTCACACACTCAGGCACGCACTCACAATTTCTCTTGTGCGCCCGTTACCAGTAGCACTATTTCAGGGTGAGACTGCAGTCCCGGCCTCAGTGCCCCTGCATCCCTGTGAAGGAAGGGGGAGGGGCTGACTGACAGACACCGCCAGGCGTGCCCTCTGGGAGCAGCAGGTGGGCAGAGGCGAGACAGCAAGGAGCTGAGGAGAAGCAGCGTCAATGCAGCAGAGGCAGAGTGATGGGAGGAGGCAGGAGGCCTGAGAGGACGTGGTAAGGACCTTGGGTTTTCTTCTATGTGTGCTGGGAAGCAAAAGACTTTGAGCAGGGGAGTGACCTGACCTGACTTATGCCTTGAAGGGGTGGCGGAGGCTGCCAGAGGTGCCAGCACAGGCAGGCCGGCGGAGGCGAGTGCGGGATGTGGCCCACTCTGGCCCTAGAAGCAGGGCCGCCTTCAGCAGCCCTGGGAAGCCTGGCGGGAGGGGGGGCAGGGGAGGCTCCCAGTAGGAGCTGGGCCTGGGTCTGGGCGAGGCTGAGCTTCCTGCCCCACAGTGCAGGGAGAGGCTGGGGCCGCTTGCCAGAGAGCCAGCCTGCCGAGCCGGAGCCATGGTCAGGGAGGCAGGGAGACCACCTAACTGCAAGGTGTACAAGAAACGGAATACCGACCCTAGTTTCACCGCATCTCTGCACAGAAAACAGGCCTTCCACACTGAACGGGACGACGCAAGGAAAGGCCTCAGTCCGTGAGGGGCCGCCTCTCGGCAGGCAGAGCGCCGCGCAGCCAGAGCGGACTGCCAGGCCCCGGGCGGGACAGGTCCTCCTACCCGGCCCTGCTTTCAGCCTCATAGAGTGAATGGGAGGTTTTCTCCTGACCCTTCTCTCCTCCACCCTACTGCAGTCACTTAGAGATTAATGCAACATCCAACCTCAGACCGGAAACTGCCCTCAGCAGACAAATAACTGCTTAGTACTGAGTTCCACCATGGAGCGAGGTTCATACAGAGCTCTAAAATGTGCCCACAAAGAGATGCATGCCCCTAGGTGTTCCTATCTCACGAGGGCCCCGCCATGGGCTGCTGGGTGGTTCTGCAGAACTCTAGCATTCAAATTCTCCAATTTTCTGAGGGGAGCTTTGTAGTTCACCAACAGTCTCACCCTGAGATGGCAGACACTGAGTGTCTCACTGCTGTTCTGCCTTTGAAAATAACCGACCACTAGTTAAACGTCACCCATGGAGCTGCGGCGAGTTCTCAGATGGACGCGGAGGATCTAGCAAAGTCATCCGCACCGACTACTCTTGGGTGTCAAAGTTTCTCTCAACCAGGAATGTCAAAATGCCCTCCCAGCGTCCTCAGGACGCGCCGCGGGCAGGGATGCCTGTGCCCCGCTGCCCTTTGTGTCAGCGGGCAGATCTGCAGAGCGCCGTGTCTAGGCCACGAAACCACCCACGCTCGGGCACCGCGAGCAGCAAGTCTGCACTTTGCCCGCCTGCTCGGCCCCCGTGCTGCAGGCCACCTCCGGGGGCCGGAGCTCTGCCTCGAGACTGCCGCCCCCCGCCGACGGGAGCTGACGCCCGAGTGAGCTCCAGTGGTCTCTGAGGGATTCAGCACCCGGACACCCGTGTCCGCCCCTGCCCAAAGGGTAAGTACTGTGAATGGACTTTTGAGAAAACGTCCCAAGCACAGTTACAGACGAGGCAGACAGCCTTGAAGGCAGGCACGGTCTCGTCCACCCCCAGGCAGCACCGCGGCAGCAGACTCTCAGGCAGACACGTGCTCTAGCGACGGTGCCGTAGCGCAGGGCACGCGGCGTGGCAGTGCTCGCGGGGAGGCGCTCCCCGCCATTCTGTGGGCACAGCCCGACCTCTCGGGGCAGGCAGGCCAGACTGCCGCCCAGGGCAAACCCGAGCGCCGAGGCACTGCGCTCTCCTGCTCTCACCCAGTGGGCGCCACCGATTCCGCTCACCGCGCCCCATGGGAGGCCAGGACGCTTGCTGCCCAGCTCAGGCCTGCCCAGGGCCCGTCACCAACCAGCGGGTCTCCTGCCCCGCGACTTGGGACACAAAGGACAGCAGGCGCTTTGGCCAGAGGTCAGCACGCTTTCCTGGAAGGGCCAGAGAGTGACTCATTTTAGGATTCGGGGCCACACGGCATCTAGCCGCTCAGCAACTCTGCTTCTGGGGAGTGGGGTGGCCCCACCGCATCCCGTGACACTTCCCTCATGGACGCGGACACATGAACGTCAGGTACATTTTCTAAGTCACAAACCACCTCCTTCTGACCTACCGCCTAAAGGTCAAAACCACTGATGCCCAGGCCCTACCAAGAGGCAGCGGGTCTTTTGGGGCCCTGGGCCTGCGCTGCTCCACCCGTCAGGACCCTCCCTTAAGTCTCTCTGTCAAGCTCTGGCAGGTGCGGCCCACACGTGTCACGTGGCCTTCACGCCTAACACGACATGCCCCTGTGCCAGAGCTGCAGCAAGCCTGGGTCAAGCACAGGACGCTGGCTCCAGGCCCACTGCAGGTCTGAGGGCCTGGCAAGGCCAGCTTCTCCGGGAGACGTGTCTCAGACGCTTCTCTGGGGCTCCTGGCATCCACACTTGTCTCGTGCTCCCAGAATCCTTTAAGGAGGCCGCAGGTGAAGGCTGTGAGCAGGTCTGGTTTCAGAGCTTTCCCCTGCACAGGGCCCGAAATGCCAAGGCCCTGGAGCCAACTATATTTTTAATGTGGCAACTGCTCTCTCCTATCCCAGAATAGCTCATTTCTCCACAGGCTTCTTTCAAGTCTTTAGGGAGGGGGAGGGGAGGGCTGCTGCTTCTCCAAGCGTAAGGCACAAAGGGGGTGGAGAGTTTACATCCTCTCTCTAAGCCTGGAAGACCGAAAAAGGGCCACTGCTGAGGAGGAGGAGGAGGAGGAAGGCTGCTCTCCCCGCCTGCCTTCCTGGAGCTGAGACCTGCACTGTGACACCGTGCTGCTTCCTGTGGAACCAGGTGCGACCTCTACAGACCAGGATCTCTTCCCTGGAGAGAAAATCCATCTGGTATAAAGTGGTTGGGGGGCCCTCCCTGGTGGCTCAACGGGTTAAAGCGCAACACTGCAAGCTGGCCGCAGCCGCTTCAGTGCGAGTTTGATCCCCACCTTGGAGGGGACCCCCAGGGCACAGCAGATCCCTCCTGCTGCTCCCCTCAGCAGTGGCCTTCATCAATCTGCCTGTTCTGCTCCCCCCCTGTCTCTGGTGAAGCCTCTCAGCCCCTGCACCGCTGGCCTGTACCCCAGTTCTGTGTGCACAAATAAATAAATCTTTAAAAAAAAAAAAGTGGTTGGGGTTCCTGGCTGCGACGGAGATCGCAGGTCTAGCTAGTTCCCCCGCAGTCAAGACCGCAGGAGCGCAGGACGGCTGCTCGCGAGCAGGCGGCTCCAGCGTACCGCCCAGACGAGGGTACTTACTGTTTTCTATGGTTGGATCATAGGAGTCAACAAACTGGCCTTCCACAAACTGAATCGTCAGTGAGGATTTCCCTAGAAGAGAGAGCAACAGTTCAGGTGAGGGCGCGTCGCTCACAGTGTAGGTACAGGAAACGGAATGTACTGGACCAGAGAACGAACATTCCTTCAAATGGCATCTGGGGAATCTCAAAAGAAGAAATATTATTAATTTGTTTATATGAGGAATTTTTATGAATGAAGCACTTTGGTGACTCAATAAATTACTGACCAACAAGCACAGCAAACAACGCTTGTCGTAAAGCAGGCCGCACTGGCCCGGCTCTCCCGGAAATCCGACTCTTCATGCGACAGCTCGACACACACCACTAGTCTCTGGACGCCTCCTACGTGGCTGCTTGAAGAGTTACCAGAAACAGCTTTGTAAGAGAGAAAGGGAAAGGGAACGAGACAGTGCACACTCCCCAAGACAGAAATCCTCCCGCATCCAGCAGCAAAGGCCCCGCGACGCTCTGGACTCGCGTCACGGGGTGACGGCACCCCAGAAAGACGCGCTGCAGAGCATGGGTGACTCTCCCCGCTGGGGAAGGGTGGGGACGGGTAAGTGGTCTCTCCTCGTTTTCACCCCAGGTCACGCCTCCTCTCAGAGCACCCCCAGCCCAACACGAACACGCCCCACTGCTCCCTCCCGCCCGGCCCACCCCGGGTGGGCTCCGGCAGAGCCTGGGACGGAGCGCAGATCCCCCGCAGGCCCACCCGGAGTGCGGCCTC